TAAGATGCAGTCGTACCCATCGAGAGACCAATGTACGAATACAATGGTTGCGATGTCGTATCCTTGATATACGAGATCGTCGCGGGTAAATCGTAAATGCCCATTTCGTGAAAGCTGACGAAAATTTCGATCAATGTACATCACAAAATACATATAACAAAGTATACTGCTTATATAATAGTATAAAATTATTCAACTATTGTTATTTTTTACTACAAATTAAATCATATGTATTATTGTTAAAACTATGTCACTTTTAACACACTGTTCTTTTCTCAATTTAAATTAGCATAAGTACCTGAAATTCCAAAATTTTGAATCCGATGGAGATAAAGAAACATGCGTCCTCGAATAAACATTTCCACGAAAATTGCCCAGCCAAACGTCGTATCCCTGATTGGCCAATATAAAAGCTAGCATAAAAAGGAAAATATTGTTTGAAATATACAACAAAATGAGGGGATAAAAAGCCAAAATTTATTCGATATACTAAGGCAATTAAGTAAAACACCTCTCTGACTTTGATAGAATCGGGAGGTTCCAGATTCGAATCCTGGCTAATTAAGTATTATTTTTCGCAATAAGTTTTTTACTGCAGTTAGAATGCTTGTAACATCATCATCCAATTGACGATCAATTTTATTTATGATAATATTTCCGTTAGAATTTAAGTTTATATCAATGGAAGTATAATCAATGATTTTTTTAAATTGATTAAGTTGTTACCAAGTCCTTTATCCTTGCCGGAAATGACCCAGAGAGCGGAGTTGCACAAGAGACCATGCTGCAACAACACGGGTGGCTGATCCGTGTCACCTGGGATACGATGAAGTGTTAAGAGATAACCATCCTCCGTCTGTATAACGTGAGTCTCCGCGGGATAACCCGCTTTTCTTATCATCTGCGGCTAGAAAAAATAAAAACAAATTGATTGATCATTAATGGTACGATCTGTCACACTCAAATTCCAAGAAAAATTCAGTGGCTTGGTGTCAATTAATAAACTAATATACAAAATATTACTATACATCAGTTCATATATGACAATAATACATATATAAAGCGTGGTTATACGTAATGCAGTCGAACTCCGATAATTCGATTCTCGGGGGACCAGAAAAACTTCAAATTATAGAATTTTTGATTTATCGAAATTCGAGTAAGAGAGGGTTAATATATGAAAATTCGACTTACGGAGGCTTTGTACGAGAGTTTATAATTTTCCGATTATAATGGCTTTTAGAGGAAAAAAAGACTATATTTAAGAGTGAATTATTTATTGCACACACATGATAAATGTAACCATAACAAAATACCAGGCTTACTTATGGTTACACATAGCTACAACATCGAATTATATATAACACAGCCTTACTGCATCTATGCATATTTCGCAAATGCAGCGCAATACTTCAATCAATCATCACGGTAGAACGCAGCAATACACATTGCTTTTCGTGTTACTCGTATCGCACGTAAGAGAGTAAGAAAAAAACTTTACAAATTAAATATAATAATTTTTAAAAAAGATAAAACCTAAGTGACATCTCTCTTTGTACTTTGATGTTAACTAGCTTTACTTTAGTGTATATATATTACTTAAAAAAATTATAAAAGAATTGATATCAGTAAATGGCATCAAGTTAAATAAAAATTATGTAACGATGTCTTATTATTTAATTAATATTACTTATATATAAGATTTTATATCAGTAAATGGTGTCAAGTTAAAAAAAATTATCTTATTCAACCAAAGTAATGTATATATTGTTTGTATAAAATATTTGTTGTCAATAATTGATGTCAAATTATACTCTCATAAAATGATTACGTTACAACTCAAGGGATATGTATGTACAATACAAAATGAAAAAATTAAATCTTAATAAAATAATTTGTATGTAAAAACACTTTTATTTAATTTAATTTTCTGATTAAATTTATTACTTTAAAATTATTTATTATTGTTTTTCTTACTAGGTCTAGCGTTGAATTATATATGCATCAATTTTATTTATATACATATATACTAATTCACAATGCGTATTAAACGTAATACATATATAATATATATCTACTCATATATATCTACTTATATATAAATTTCATCAAACTTGTTTTATTACATTTGGTCTTTGGATATATAATTGTCAACTTTAATAACGTTTTCTATTGATTTTATTTGCGCTAATTCAGTTATAATAATTAAGTATCAGGATAGACCGTTAATGTTACATACAAATTAAGAAACGAAAAATTACCGCCAATAGCGGTCCAAGCGGATCTTGGTGCTCGATAATATTATAATACTGTGTGAATCTTACAATATATTTATCGGTTCAAATATACCGCGCGCCGTATAATTGGACTTACAACGTAGCTAAAAACCAAAAATACGTAATATCACAATTAAATTGCCAATGGCAATCTAATAAATCGATGCTCGTAGCATCAATTAAATATTGTGAAAATAACTTATTGCGAAAAATATTATCTCAGCCGGGATTTGAACCTCTCTACTCTCCGGGCGGGCGTCTTATCAATTCGACTATCAAGGCATATGATAATCTTTCTTGCAATCCTGATATGTAATTGTTTATTCACGTTACCTTGAAACATACGTTCTTCTAAATATATTTACATAA